AATATTTATGTCATCGGAGTCCCAGACGAAGGCATAAGAAGGGGCTGGAAAAACATTCAAAGAAATAATGGCTACAAATCTCCCAAATTTGGCAAAAAGGCATAAAGAACCCCATGCAGAATAAACCCAAATAAATGCACACCAAGACACATCATAAACAAATTCAGAAAACTCGATACAAACCCCCCCCCCAAAACAACAACAAAAAACCTTGAAGGAAGCCAGAGAGAAATAGTGCATTATATACAAGAAAAGAAAAGAAAAAAAAAATGCCTGTAATCCCAGCACTTTGGGAGGCTGAGGCGGGCAGTTCACCCCAGGTTGGGAGTTTGAGACCAGCCTGACCAACGTGGAGAAACCCTGTCTCAACTAAAAATACAAAATTAGCCGGGCGTGGCAGCGCATGCCTGTAATCCCAGCTATTTGGGAGGCTGAGGCAGGAGAATCACTTGAACCCGGGAGGTGGAGGTTGCAGTGAGCTCAGATCATGCCATGGCACTCCAGCTTGCACAACAACAGCAAAACTCCATCCCCCCTAAAAAAAAAAAAATAAAAAAAAAAAAAAAAGACAGGGCCGGGCGCGGTGGCTCACGCCTGTAATCCCAGCACTTTGGGAGGCTGAGGCGGGCGGATCACAAGGTCAGGAGATCGAGACCACGGTGAAACCCCGTCTCTACTAAAAATACAAAAAAATTAGCCAGGCGCCATGGCGGGCGCCTGTAGTCCCAGCTACTCAGGAGGCTGAGGCAGGAGAATGGCGTGAACCCGGGAGGCGGAGCTTGCAGTGAGCCGAGATCGCGCCACTGCACTCCAGCCTGGGCAACAAAGCGAGACTCTGTCCCCCAAAAAAAAAAAAAGGTGGCTGGGCCCGGTGGCTCACACCTGTTATCCCAGCATTTTGGGAGGCAGATGCGGGCAGATGACTTGAAGTCAGGAGTTTGAGACCAGCCTGGCTAACATGGTGAAACCCCATCTCAACTAAAAAAATAAAAATTCGCCAGGTGTGGTGGCAGGCACCTATAGTCCCAGTTACTCAGGAGGCTGAGGTGCAAGAATAACATGAATCTGGGAGGTGGAGGTTGCAGTGAGCTGAGATCACAACACTGCATTCCAGCCTGGGCGACAAAGTGAGACTGTCTCAAAAAACAAAAACAAAAACAAGCCAGGCGCAGTGGCTCACGCCTGTAATCCCAGCACTTTGGGAGGCCGAGGTGAGTGGATCACAAGGTCAGGAGATCGAGACCATCCTGGCTAACATGGTGAAACCCTGTCTCTACTAAAAACACAAAAAAATTAGCTGGGCGTGGTGGCACGCACCTACAGTCCCAGCTACTCAGGAGGCTGAAGCAGGAGAATCACTTGAACCCGGGAGGCGGAGGTTGCAGTGAGCTGAGATCGCGCCACTGCACTCCAGCCTGGGCGACAGAGTGAGACTCCATCTCAAAAAAACAAAACAAAACAAAAAAAACAGCCAGGCATGGTGGCACGTGCCTGCAGTCCCAGCTACTCAGGAGGCTGAGATGGGAGGATTGCTTGAGCCTGGAAGGTAGAAGCTGCAGTGAGCTGTGATTATGCCACTCTACTCTAGCCTGGTGACAGAGTGAGACCTTGTCTCAAAAATAATAAATAAATATAATAAAGAAAGGTGGCTGGGCGTGGTGGCTCACGCCTGTAATCCCAGCACTTTGGGAGGCTGAGGGGGTGTCAATCACGAGGTCAGGAGACCCAGACCATCCTGGCTAACACAGTAAAAGCCAGTCTCTACTAAAAATACAAAAAAAATTAGCCGGGGGTGGTGGCACGTGGCTGTAGTCCCAGCTACTTGGGAGGCTGAAAAAGAAGAATCGCTTGAACCCAGGAGGCGGAGGTTGCAGTGAGCCAAGATTTCACCACTGCACTCCAGCCTGGGCAACAGAGCGAGACTCCGTCTCAAACAAAGAAAGATGAAAATATCTGCAAACTACATATCCAACAAAGCGCTGGTATCTAGGATACATTAGAAATTCTCAAAACTCAACAGTTAACAAAAACTGAACAATCTAATTACAAAATGGACAAAATATATGAACAGACATTTCACCCAAGAGTATACAGGGGCCAGGTATGGTGGCTCATGCCTGAAATCCTAGCACTTTGGGAGGCCAAGACAGGAGGATCAGTTTATCCCAGGAGTTCAAGACCAGCCTGGGCAACATAGCAAGATCCTATCTTTTCCAAGAAAAGAGAGAATAGACAGATGTCAAATAAGCACATGAAAAGATGTTCAACATCATTAGCCATCAGAAAAATGCCCATTACAACCACAAAGAGACATTACTACACATCTATGGAATGGCTATAATAAAAAAAGTAACATCACCAAACGCTGGCAAGTATGTGGAGAAACAAGATCATACAGTGCCAGTGTGAATGCAAAATAGTACAATCTCTCTGGAAAACAGTTTGGCTGTTTGTTAATAACTAAACATGCACTACGACTTATGACTTAGTGATTGTATTCCTGGGCATTTATCTTGGAGAAATGTCAATTCATGTTCACATAAAAACCTGTACATGAAGGTTTGTAGCAGCTTTATTTGTAATAGCCACAGAATGGAAACAGTAAAGATGTCTTTTAATGGATAAATAAACCAACGGTGGTACATCCATAGCCCAGCTTCAATAAAAAGGAATGAAGTACTTTTCTTTTCTTTTTTTTTTTTTTTGAGACAGGTTCTCACTCTGTCACTCACGCTGGAGTGCAGTGACGCGATCTTGGCTCACTGCAGCCACTACAGCCCAGGCTCAAGCGATCCTCCCACCTCAGCTTCCTGAGTAGCTGGGATTACAGGAACGCACCACTGCATCTGGCTATTTTTTTCTTTTTTTTTTTGTAGAGATGAGGTCTCACTATGTTCCTCAGACTGGTCTTGAACTTCTGGGCTCAAGCGATCTGCCTGCCCCAGCCTCCCAAAGTTGCTGGGATTACAGGCGTGAGACACTGTGCCTGGCCAAGGAATGAACTACTGGTACACGCAACAACCTGGATGATTCTCCAGGGAATTAATCTGAGTGGAAAAAACCAATCCCAAAAGGCTCTATGAATCCCTTTATTTGGCATTCTTAATATACCAAAATTAGGGAAATGGAGAACAGATCAATGGTTGTCAGGAGTTGAAAGACTGGGAATGGGAGGGATGTGGGTGTGGCTATAAAAAAGCAATGGAAGGGATCCTTGTGATGATGGGAATATTCTGTATCTTGAATTTTACTAATGTCAACATCTGGTTGTGATATTTACTACAGTTTTGCACAATGTTAGAGAAGTGGGAAAGGAACACAGGATCTCTCTGTACTATTTGACTGCATAGAATAAATTTTTATGTACAATTTCTTAAAATTTTACTGTTCTTAAATTTATCAATAATTTGTACAATGATCTCAAAATAAAAATTACCTAAAAATCTAAAAAGTAGATGATACTGTAGTTTTCTCTTTCCTTTTTTTTTTTGACCTGGAGTCTCCCTTTGTCACCCAGGCTGTAGTGCAGTGGCGTGATCTCGGTTCACTGCAACCTCTGCCTCCTGTGTTCAAGTGATTCTCCTGCCTCAGCCTCCCGCTGAGACTACCGGCCCACGCCACCACGCCCTGCTAACTTTTGTATTTTTAGTAGAAACGGGGTTTCACCACGTTGGCCAGGCTGGTCTCAAACTCCTGACCTCAGGGGATCCACCTGTCTTGGCCTCCCAAAGTGCTAGGATTATAGGTGTGAGCCACTGCGCCTGGTTTGTTTTTTTTGTTGAGACAGGATCTCACTGTGTCACCCAGGCTGGAGTGTAGTGGTGCAATAATGGCTCACTGCAGCTTGGACCTCCCCTGGCTCATGCCATCCTCCAACCTCAGCCTCCTGAGTAGTTGGGACTACAGGTATATGCGGTATATGCCACCATACCCTGAGAATTTTATTTTTGGTAAATGCAGGGTATCACTTAGGTTGCTAAGGGTGGTGTCCTTGACCTCTTGAGCTCAATCGATATTCCTTCCACAGTCTCCCAAAGTGCTGGGATTACAAACGTGACCCACCACGACTGGCTGAAATTGTGCACGTCAAATGGGTGAACTGCATGGTATGTGAATTTTATCCCAATAAAGATATTATTTAAACAGAAAAAGTAACTGAAATGTGAAAAGTGTGCTTAAAAAAAAATAATGAGGGGCCGGGTGCAGTGGCTCACGCCTGTAATCCCAGCACCTTGGGAGGCCAAGGCGGGTGGCTCACCAGAGGTCAGGAGTTCGAGAACAACCTAGCCAAGGTGGTGAAAACCCATCTCTACTAAAAATACAAAAATTAGCCAGGCGCGTGCCTGTAATACCAGCTACTCGGGAGGCTGAGGCAGGAGAATCACTTGAATCCAGGAAGGCAGAGGTTGCAGTGAGCCGAGATCATGCCACAGCACTCCAGCCTGGGCGACAGGGTGAGACTCCATCTCAAACAAAACAAGACAACAACAACAAAAAATGAGCATACAGTGACCTTTATTCAACTTTCCAAGATCCAGTCCTCAGCTAATTTACAAAACTACAATAGTGGTATATACTATCCTAGGTCTACACGGCAAAGTACAGTTTGTTGCAACTAATGCTGCCTTATACAAAAAGGCTTTATCCTATGCCACCCATCCTAAACCCAGCTGTTCAGAGCAGTGTACCTGGAAATCAGCCTCAGGGTACGGACTGCAAGACATGGCACAAGGAAACCCTAACACGAAGTCCTATATTCTGGGCAAAGGGATGGGGATGGCAGGTGGGACGCACTCGGGTCAGGGCGAGGGCACGGCAAGTTTTCTATTAAATCTCAGTAGGTTAAAACTCATATCCATGGTCTGATACATTTTCGAGGGAAAATGGTGCTTGAAAGATGTTTCTACGGAAAACAAGCTTCATCTCAGTCAATCTGTTCGTCCCAACTTTGGGCAGCAGGTGTGGGGGCGGGGCCAAGGTCTGCGCCGTAATCTAAACAGGCAGTCCCACCCAGGGCCACCCCAAGGCTAGATGCTCCGACGCGACTCGAGCAGGCCACACTATCTTTCGGACAAAGCGACGCGGTCCTCACAGGCGGGAAGGAGAGTGCGTCCCGGTCGGGAAGGACGCCGCCGGAGAGCTGCCTGCCCACGTGACGCCCGCGGCGACCTTGGGGGTCACCCTTGCGGACGCACCGCCCTCTCCCTCACATCCGCCGCCGCGCCCGCCCCTCGCTCTACCACCGCCAATGGCGCGTCGCTCCGCGCCCCGCGCGACCTGGGAGCGCGCTCGTACCCGCCAATCTCCGCCCGCCAGGCGGGCCCCGCGGCGCCATTGGCTACCACGGCCATCCATTAGGTCCCGTCCCTCCTACCACCCTCCGTCAGCCCCACTCCATCCAGCTCCACTCCCCTGTCACCGCGGCACCCGCAGCACCAAGGGCGCGGCGGCCTCGCCCTTTACCGCGATCTCCAACCCCGGGCCGCCAAGCGCCGCGCTACCCAGCACTGAGACGGGCGCAGCGACAGCGCAAGGTTACCTGTCTCCGGCTCAGCTCCACCCGAATGAGGCGCCGACACCCCACTCCGGGGCTCTAAACTCTCGGCCCCGCCCTGGCGTATGGCGTCAACACGTAGCCCTCCCCTGGAGAAGAAGGCCCTCCCCTCTTACAGTGAACCGATTCGTGACGTCACAGAGCCGCGCCGGACGTCACAGCGCCGACTACGCAGTTGCGGAAGCTTGGGCCGGCGGGAGCGCAGTTGTTTGCTCCGCTAGAGCGATGAGATTGAGTGTATGGACTTCCAGCGGCTTCTACGATCATAAGTAATTTCTAAAACATATCTCTAGTGCCTGGTAGGAACCTATCAAGAGACAGTTGGGTTGATGTGAAACAGCGCACAAAAATAAACAATTTAAATAACAGAATCTCCGTTTTTGAGATTGTCCTGGGTCAGGCTTTGTGACAAGCGCTTCACCGGCGCTATTGTGTAACAGCCTGTGAGATAGGTATTCCTGTCCCCGGTCTACAAATGACAATAGGCAGTGCTGGAATCTTGCCCGGGATCTTGCCCGAGTTGTCTTGACTTTAGAGCTACCTATCAAAGATAAAACGCGGCTAATTAACCTGTCACAACCTGTTGATTGTAAGATGTTCCCTATTTTAAAGTATTAAAATCTGGGGAAAGGCCGGGCGCGGTGGCTCAAGCCTGTAATCCCAGCACTTTGTGAGGCCGAAGCGGGCAGATCACTTGAGGTCAGGAGTTCGAGACCAGCCTGGCCAACAGGGCAAAACCCAGTCTCTACCAAAAATTTTAAAAGGCCGGGCGTGGTGGCGGGCGCCTGTAATCCTAGCAACTCGGGAGGCTGAGGCAGGAGAATAGCTTGAACCTGGGAGGGAGAAGTTACAGTGAGCCGAGATCGCGTCACTGCATTCCAGCCTGGGCGACAGAGTGAGAATCAGTCTCAAAATAATAATAATAATAATAAAAGTAATAAAATTGGGGGAAAAGTATCTCAGAATTGATTAAATAATATCGCAAATTATATTCACTCACATATTGAGAAAGCCCCTTGCACTTGTTCAGTCTTACAGCCAGGAGAAAACCTCATTTCATATTCATGTCTTTAACATCACTTTTTCTTCTTTCCCTTTTAGATAGAGATCAGACTTTAGGCTCAAAGCTTTCAGTGGGCAATATTATTATATAAAGCTAGACCTTAAACTGCTTTGTATTCATGATTTTGGACAGTTTATCTTTGTTATTTGTGGCAGGTAATACTGGTTTTCTTATTTACATTAAAAATTTTTTTCCAATAAATGGTTCTATTTAAAGAAGATGTTAACCATTGTAGATACTAGTATAGGAAGGCAGCATCCAAATAACTGACATTAGGGAAACGCTGTTGCAGACTGTCTTGAATGTTCTCCTGAATATATTTTCCCAAGTAGATAACTACTTAAAGACAAGGATTTTGTCATGTGGCACACAGCAGCAGATATTGGGGTGACGAGGAACAGCGATCCATCAAGCACGATAGTCCCATAGAGAACACAGATATCTCAATTGGGCCAGTATTCAGACCAAAGCTATGCCACCCACAGGTGGGTATGATATAGACTTAAAGCGACTTATAAAAGGGAAAAGTCAAAGAGGTGTTTTTTTGTGTTTTAAATGGGGAGTATAGGCCGGGTGTGGTGGCTCATACCTGTAATCCCAGCACTTTGGGAGGTGGAGACGGGCGGATCACCTAAGGTTGGGAGTTCGAGACCAGCCTGACCAACATGGTGAAACCCCATCTCTACTAAAAATACAAAAATTAGCTGGGCGTGGTGGCGCAGTAGCTGGTAATCCCAGCTACTCAGGAGGCTGAGGCAGGAGAGTCGCTAGAACCCGGGAGGTGGAGATTGCAGTGAGCCGAGATCATGCCATTGTACTCCAACCTGGGCAACAAGAGCGAGAAACTCCGTCTCAAAAAACAAACACACACACCCAAAAAGGGGGCGTATAAGTGCTTATGATAGAACAAACTTAGGCTAATGTATATGACAAGGATCTAGAGACTGGAAGAAGGTAAGAGACCAGGGTATAAACTTCAGTATTCTTTTTTCCTTTTTTTTTTTTGTAATACGGTAAAAATGCATGTACTAAAAATTTGCAGCTGGGTGCAATGGCTCACACTTGTAATCCCAGCACTTTGGGAGGTGGAGGCGGGATGATCACTTGAGCTCAGGAGTTCCAGATCAGCCTGGAGAGCACAGCAAGATCTCATTTCTACTAAAAAAATCAAGAAAATTAGCCAGGTGTAGTGGCACTCACCTGTAGTCTCAGCTAATTGTAGGAGGCTGAGGCAGGAGGAGGATCTCTTCAGCCTGAGAGATTGAGGCTGCAGTGAGCTATGATTGTACCACTGCACTTCAGCCTGGACCAGAGAGCAAGATACTGTATTTTTTTTTTAATGCCATTTTAACCATTTTTAGGTGTATAATTCAGTGGCATTAATTACATTCACAATATTGTGCAACCATCATCACTCTATTTCCAAAACTTTTTCATCACCTGAAACAGAAACTCTGTAACCATTAAGCAATAACTTCCTATGTCCCCCTCTCCTCCTGTCCTTCTCTCCTTTGGTAACCTCTATTATATGGTCTCTATACATTTGGTTACTCAATTACCTTATGTCAGTGGAATCATACCGTATATGTCTTTTTGTGTCCACCTTGTTTCATTGAGCATGGGGTTGTCAAGGTTTATCCATGTTGTAGCATTGGCCCAGAACTTCATTTCTTTTTATTTTATTTTATTTTATTTTTGAGACACGATCTCCCTCAGTTTCAGGCTGGAGGACAGTGGCACCATCTCAGCTCACTGCAGCCTGCGCCACCCAGGTTCAAGTAATTCTGATGCCTCGGCCTCCCAAGTAGCTGGGACTACAGGCACGCTCCACCATGCCTGGCTATTTTATTTTATATTTATTTATTTATTTATTTAGGGATGGTGTTTTGTTCTTGTTGCCCAGGCTGGAGTGCAGTGTGCCATCTCAGCTCACTGCAACCTCTGCCTCCTAGATTCAAGCAATTCTCCTGCCTCAGTCTCCCAAGTAACTGGGATTATAGGCGCCTGCCACCACACCCAGTTAATTTTTTGTATTTTTAGTAGCAATTGGGTTTCACTATGTTGGCCAGGCTGGTCTTGAACTCCTGACCTCAAGTGATCCACCCACCTCGACTTCCCAAAGTGCTGGGATTACAGGCGTGAGCCACCACACCTGGCCAGAACTTCATTTCTTTTTATGGCTGAATAATATTCCATTGTATGTATATACCACATTTTGTTTATTCATTCATCTGTTTATGAACACTTGGGTTATTTCTGCTTTGTTGCTATTTTGAATAATGTTGCAATGAACATTGGCTTATAAATGTTTGAGCCAATTGTGTTACCAAGCAATGGGCTCACTGCTAGACACACATAGAAGCCAATACTATGTCATCAGCTTTTGAGAAAAGGCTTTATTGTAAGGTCGACCAGCAGGGAAACCAGAGGCAACACTCAAATTTGTCTCCCCGAGATGGAATCTGGGGGCAGGTTTTATAGGCAAAGAGCAACTATGAGGGAGATGGGAAAATACAACAAGGCATGATCTGTTTGGGTCATGCAAAGAGGCAATGCTGGATCTTTGAGTTCATATTGCAGCAAAACAGGACGCCCCATGCTTCCTAATTTGGTGTCCATTTCTCCATTTGAGTGCTTAAGTCATGCCTATGGTTGACTTTTGTGTTCCCACCGACACCAGGGTCAGTTATCAGGCACGCTTGGTTCATCTGGGCATGCTCAGGTTACATGACTTGCAGCCTGGGGATCTATTATAACTGAAAAACAACTCATCATTTTGTTACTGATAAAAGTTGAACCAGGCTGGGCGTGGTGGCTCACACTTGTAATCCCAGCACTTGGGGAGACTGAGGTGGGTGGATCACCCGAGGTCAGGAGTTCAAGATGAGCCTGGCCAACAGGGTGAAACCCCATCTCTACTAAAAACACAAAAAAATTAGCCACGCATGGGTGGGTGCCTGTAATCCCAGCTTGGGAGACTGAGGCAGGAAAATCGCTTGAACTCAGGAGCCGGAGGTTGCAGTGAGCCAAAACCCCGCCTTTGCACTCCAACCTGGGCAAGAAGAACAAAACTCCATCTCAAAAAAAAAAAAAAAAAAGCTGAACCAGATTGAACTGGTCCTGTGGTTACACCTGTTTATAATTCTTTTGCCTGTATACCTGGGAGTGTAATTGCTGGGTTATATGGGAATTCCGTCTAGCTTTTTCAGGAAGTGATAAATTCCCACAGTGACCACACCTTTTTTGTTTGTTTGTTTGTTTTTGAGACAAGGGGTCAGTTTGTAGTGCAGTGGTGCAATCACAGCTCACTGCAGCCTCAACCTCCGGGGCTTAAAGCAATCCTCTCAGCTCACGCTCCTGAGTAGCTGGGACAACCGGCACGCACCACCATGCTAGGCTAATTTTTTCTATTTTTTTTAGAGACAGGGTCTTGCTGTGTTGCCCAAGCTGGTCTCGAAGTCCTGGCCTCGAGCGATCCTGCTGCCTCAGCCTCCCATAGTGTTGAGATTACAGGTGTGTCTCTATTTTTTTTTACTGTCTCTATTTTTTAAAAAATTATTATCAGTCAGTCATGGTGCCTCCCTCCTGTAATCCCAGCACTTTAAGAGGCCAAATTAGGAGGATTATCAGCTTCAGCAACACAATGAGACTTTGTCTCTACAGAAAAAAAAAAAAAAAAAATTAGGAGTGGTGACACATGCCTGTGGTCCTGCCTATTTGGAATGCTAGGACAGTAGGATTGCTTGAGCCCAGGAGCTTGAGGTTGCAGTGAGCTATGATCATGCCACAGAACTCTAGCCTGGGCACAGAGCAAGACCCTGTTCTCCCACTTCCCCACTCCCCAAAGAAAACATTTGGTGAGGTGTAATGGCTCATGCCTATAATCCCACTACTTTGGGAGGCTAAGTCAGGAGGATTGCTTGAGGCCAGGAGTTTAAGATCAGCTGGGCAACATAGCAAGACCCCATCTCTAAAAAAAAATTTATTACAGCCAACTATAATAAATAGGTATGAGTTGGTATCTCATTGTGGTTTAGAAATTATTATTTTTTAGAGGTAGAGTCCCACTCTGCCACCCATTCTGGAGTGCATGAGCACAATCAGAGGTCACTGCAGCCTTGAACTCCTGGGCTGGGACTGCAAGTGTGGGCCACCATCCATGGCTCATTGTGGTTTTGATTTGCATTTCCCTAATGGCTAATGATG